TCAACCTTCTAGGGAGATCTCAGTCCCTACCTCCACATAATATGGCTTCAAATTATTAAACAACCCAAGTATCAAAGAGCCAAGAAGCTGGGTGTGGTGGCGCACGCTTGTAATCCCAGCGGCTCCTGAGGCTGAGACAGGAGGTTCATGAGTTCAAAGTCAGCCTCAGCAAAAGTGAGGCACTAAGCAACTCCCTCTCTATATATAAAATACAATATAGGGCTGGGGATGTGGCTCAGTGGTAGAGTGTTCGAGTTTAATCCCTGGTGCCCCTGCCGCTGCACCCCCCCACCAAAAAAAAAAAAAAAAAAGAGCCAAGAGTCCTAAGATCTGCTGTTGCTCTTTCTGGAGCAGTCCTTCATTGCTTCATTGCCAAAGTCTCATAATGTTCCTCTTCATTTTCAAAAGTATGGAAATTAAATGTTCTGAGAAGAATAAAGAATGAAGATAAAGGAGGCACTCACCTCCCCGGGGATTTTTACACTCGTCCTTCTCAAACCTGTTCGTGAACAGCCTGTACAAGATGCCATCTAGAGATGAGGTGCAGAGACCTGGGCTATGAGGCTGATTCAATGGTCGGGCCACTGCAGGGAGTGAGTTGTCGCCACCTTTCTGCTTTAGTCAACTATCATCTGTCTTACGGGCTTTTTCTAGTTACATCATCTCCTGCCCCAGGATTCTAGAGTGCGACCCCACAATGAGCCTGTACTCAAAGGGCGTAGCCCAAGGTAGCACCTCGCAGGCTCTAGTTACCTTCTCCAAGGCTGTGTGCTTTGTGAATATGATCCCTTTATTCTCCAGGCTAATAAACAACCTGAAATCATATGGGCCCATGACATACATCTCTCTCCTCACTGAAAGATGTAGTCTTTTTTTTCCAGTTGTAGATGGACATAATACCTTTATTTTTTTATTTATTTTATGTGGTGCTGAGGATCAAACCCAGAGCCTCACATGTGGTAGGCAAGCACTCCATCCTTGAGCCACAATCCCTGCCCAGAAAAATGTAATCTTAATCAGTATCCTAAGAATTTAGGAGTTTAGAATTTGGGTGGATATTGCCATTATTTGAGAATATCTAACTTTTCACTTTTTTCTTGAGTTCTCTTCCTTCAGCTAAATGTACTGTTATCAGCATGATACATTTTGACCCGTCATATACCTCAACACTTGGTTAAATGATGATCACTTCATGTCTGTTACAACTTCTTTTCCTGAGCCAGTCTGAAATAATTCAGATAAACTTGTAAGATTTTATCAGTATAAAGTTTTATTCTGTTTCCAATAAGTAGGATCTACAGTTTGAGTCTTAGGTATAGTTTTCATTATTATATGTTTTTTTTTTTTTTTGGTGTTAGAGATCAAACCCTGGACCTCAATGAATTACAACACTTGCCTGATATATCAATATGAAGGACTTTTTTGACACAATACCCCCACTCCTTTACTCCTGTGTGCAGGTATAAAGTTCATCTGCACAATCTCTTTTAATCTCATGGTAAAATAATCTGCCAATTAACTCAGCCTTCTGCCTATCAGTAGAACACATTTTCCTTTTTCAAGTTTTATAATTCATTCTCCCTGACTCTAGCCTCAACTTTTCTGCCCCTGACTTCTTATACCTTTCAGCCTAGTTCAATCAACACTTTTAGACATCTACTTTTACTTTACAACCACCTACAACTCTCAGGCTTCTCATATATCACACTCTTCATTTGAAAACCTCTTTTGTAATATGTCAATCTAAAATCTGCCTTTTTCTCCATTAAAACCAACTCCTGGTTGGGTATGCGGCTTAGTGATAGAGTATGCCTGGCATATGTAAAACCCTGTTTGATCCCCAGCACCACAAAAACAAAAAGGATAAAACCAAAATAACTCCAAGTCCAGCACAGCAGTGCACTCCTGTAATGCTAACTACTTGGGTGCCCAAGGCAAGAGAACTGAAAATTTGAGGCCAGCCTCAGCAACTTATTGAGAATCCTGTTCCTCCTGTCTCAGCTACCCAAGCTGCTAGGAATACAAGTATGTGCCACCTATCACACCCAGCCCTCAGGTGCCTTTAAAAGGGATGCCAAGAGACCCTTTGCACTCTTGCCCCTCCCATACTCTCCTTGGGAGTTTTTACTTTCTGAATCTTAACCTCCTCTTTAATCAATTTCTGCTTGCTTATCTTGGTGTTTGCAGTGTTCATTCTTCAACTCCTTGGAACATGGACCCAAACCTGATTCCTACTGGTAACATCTATAGGTAGCAGGGTTATAAGCAACTTTTATTTTCATGCTTTTCTGAATTTTTTAAATTTGTGTTTGATTGTTCTCAAGGTTTTTTTGTTTTGTTTTTTAAGCAATATATCATATTCACAGAGAAGCTACAGCGTCAAGGACATACTTAAATGGACAGTGAACAGCCTGTTGATTCACTGTGTTATTCGGCAATAGGCTCTTCTTTCTCATCAATTCTAAGTATGTCACTTTGAGCCATTCTCCTTCCCTCACTACTCATGTCCATATTATAACTAATTTTTTTTTATCAGAGGAGCTATATAACAACAATACCACTAGGACAATCAAAAAACCAAGAAAAAGGCACACTTTTAATTAAATTATTATTGAAAAAAATTAATGTAGTTGATTAGTAAAGAAAAAAACAGAGGGAGAGACTGGGGATGTAGCTCAGACATAGGTGCTTGCCTAGAATGCACAAGGCCTTGGATTCAATCCTCAGTACCAAACACACACACAGATACACTCACACAAAAACCAGAGGGAAAAAAGGCAGTTTAAATTCAAGTTGTGAGCTTAGTGGTTAACTTCCTATGATAATTTCCTGGGGCCATCATCAAAGATTCCTTAAAAATTTTCCTTAGGCAAGACAAAGACACCAAGTAAGCCCTGGTTAGGATGGCTTCAGTTCACCCAATGACACAGCTGTGCTAGTGGACAACACCAATACCAGGGAAATGTTTTTCCGTTTGGTGATAATGGTGGTTTTATATTTGTTCTGCTTTGTCTCCAAGAATGCCCAAGGATGTCTAGGAAACTCCAGGCAAACTGGGCCATTCTAAACTAGACTTCTCACATCACAGTTCCTATGTCCTTGTTCTTCTGTCAGCCTGTTGCTAAACTCTGACCCAACTGCCCCTCGTCTCCAGGACATCCCATAAGCCTTTAACAAGGAGATGGACAAGAATGGCAACAAAAGAACACTCATGAGCACCAGAAGGAGAAAAAGAGAACAGTCTATGGCTTATTTCTTCTTCTTTTTGTACTGGGGTGCTTTGCCACTGAGATACATCTAGTCCTTTTCATTATTTATTTTGAGAGAGGGTCTTGCTAAGTTGTTGAACCTGGCCTCAAACTTGCAATCCTCCTATCTCAGCCTCCTGAATTGGAATTACAGGCACCACCATGCCTGGCTTCTTCTTTATAACCTAAAGAATCTATACATTCATAATTAATGACAAACAAGACGGTGACAAACACTTGCCATCATTCTATCTGAATAGAAGAACTGAACTAAAAGGTATAATTCACAGAAAGAATTTTTGTCAGGCTATTTTTAGTCCTTAATAGTCAACTCTATTTTACTTATATTTATAATTATGTGTGGAAAAAAATCTCAAAGGATATAATCAAAATATTATTACATTAACATTTTCTTATTTATTTTGCAGTGAACATATATGATTTTTTTATATTCTTTATTTTTGGAGGAGAGATACTGAATTTAATGAAAAGCAATGCTTCCACACTTTCAGATAGGATTACACATATGTTATTTCTGGATTACCTCATCCTGAATCTTATTGTCATCCTCTCTCAAATGATCTCCTTATAGACAAATTCTATCAAATATCAAACACAATTGATTCAACCTAGGAGTCAACCATAACTGAATTAAAAATTACTAAACCCAAAAACTACTAAACCCAAACCTATTTTTTTTTTTCAGTAAAGAAGCCATTATCTATAAATAATCACCTAACAGCACTAGACTGATTATGTTATATATACAAAGTCTCAAGTAGTTACACCAAGGGTGTTTGGAACTGGGATTCTGAAATCTACAACAATATTATGAGTATGCCCCTTCCACAATGAATCTCATCTGTCCTACCAAGGAAGCCTAGCTTTAAAGACAATTTAACTCTTAATAACATCTCAGCTAGGGACACACACAGGTGAGAAAGAAAGCTATTGGGTTCAGGAAGAATGATATTTTTCAATTCCAACCACTCAATGGCAAATTATGAACCCTGATTCTCAATTTCCTTACCTTGAAAACAAGGATAATAAAAACTACCTCACAGGGCTGGGGTTGTGGCTCAGTGGTAGAGCTCTTGCCTAGCATGCATGAGGCACTGGGTTCAGCACCACATAAAAATAAAATAATGATACTGTATCCACCTAAAACTAAAAAACAAATATTAAAAAAAAGCCTACCTCATAATATTGCTTTAAGGACTGGAGAAACTATATGTTTAGCAGGTAATCCATAGTAGGTATCCAATAAATTATCTTGTTATAACTGGTTTGCCTATGTAATAGTTATCAGTTCTTCCTTTTCATGCTAACAATATAGAGGTTCTAAGGTACTTAACATAAAATACATACTTGAAAATACTATTTGCCTATGGGTATACAGAATGGGTAGAATACTAGAAGCAAGGAATTTGGTTTCTCAGAACCCTCATTACTACTTTTTCCTTTGAGTCTACTTCATGTCACTACTATGACATCTATCCCAAAAGTGGGAAGGACAAGCTGCCTAGGCTTACAAGGTTCCCATTTCTATCAGGATCAGTTAACAGATAAAGCAGGTAAATTGGTTCATTTTACTGATTTTCAAATTGGCAATAGAGCTACAGGCAAAAGTAGACTAAGAAGAACTGTATCATAGGAAAATACTAACGAGTCAGGTTGAATTCTGCATTTTCAAACACAAAACCAAGAAAAATGTTCATTCTGTACTGATAAAAATTTGCCTTTTTGTTTTAGGAGAAGAATTTGCTGTTGAGAAGCCTCTCCTCCACACTTGCCCATGCTCTACCTTCTCTGCACTCAGGTGACAACATGCCATCTGCCAGCTGTGACAAATGAGATTTCCAATATCATTCGAGGAAAGGAGATCTTAATCACAAAGAGACAGCTCAATCCACTAACCTACAGTCATAACAAAGCTACCTGGCAGGCAATTTTTGAACATGATAGCAAATCATTTTAAATAAACTTGATCGAAATGACCAAAAGAACATTAAAGAGTCACGATTAGCTATGGGAAGAGATCCACTTCTACAAGACCACCACCACAGGAAGAGAGGCACTGCAGAGATCCTGTACAGAGCCTCTTTGTGCTTGTACAGTCCTTACCTGACAGTCAAAGTCCTGGAAGTTTCGTGTACCATTCTGTCAACAGAAGGCAGAAAACACAGTCAGTTTCCCCATGTGGTTCCCCAAATGTGCAGCAAATTCAGTTCACAGTGAAAGCAGTGCATGTGCAGTTTCCTGGTTGCCATCAACCTAAAATGGTTTTCACTGAAAGCTTCAGAAGCAGGGTGGGTTACTGACTTGCGCTAGTACCAGCTATGTCTTCAGAAGTGAGATTATGCCTTGGTTGGATTACTGTGAAGATAAAGGGAAGCAGAATAGTTTCCCAGCAAAGCTTGGAACTTCATGCCTTCCTACTGAAGGAAGCAGTGAGAATTTGTGGGAAGAGAGTAAAAGATGGATCAGCGTATGACAGCACACCGTCAACACACATGGGAAGTTACCTGGGAAGAAAGGCCTTAGATGCCAACCTTGAGAGGGATGAAGGAGAACAAGAGCCAAGGTACCCAGGTCTAGGAATTAAAGAAAGGATTAGGAAGAGGACAAGGCCATGAACGGATCAGAAATGGAAGACTTAAAATCTAACAAAGAAGTAAAACAATGTCACTGAAGAAGGGAAAGAAAGAGAATAGGGCTCCTAACACCCTGGCATTTCTACTGCATCCTATGAAACTGGAGATAGGAAAAAAAAAAAAAAGGACAAATCACTGAAACATATAAAAAACAGAACTTAGACAAAAGATTCAAGGAAAATTCCCCAAATTTCTAAAAAGAGATTATATGATAGTAATATCTGATTGATAGTAATATCTGATTGAGGAAAAGAAATCAATGGTGATGACTCAGGCATTTCTGCAGCATTTCAGATGCCGAAGTTGCAAGAGTATGACATCAGAGTACAAAAAGGGTAACAAGTAATATATTAGGGAAGAAAAAACCCTTTTACTTGATTTTTTTCATAAAGTATAATCCCCTCCCTGAGAAGCCTCTCATTATTTAGAAATCGTTTTATCATGACATGTTTGTTCTGTCTCTATACCAGCTTCCAGAGGTATGGAACTGCTAATAAGTAGAGCTGCCCCTCCAGAGAATCTCTAGATATGTGATTCTGAGAGAATACTAAGTAGTCCCATCCTCTTCCAGAAGCTCCTCATAGAAGCAGTTCTTCCTGATCCTACACTGCTGGCAGGACAAAACAGAGCACAGTGGGTACAAACAACTAAAGAATCTAACTGTCCTCCCCAGGAGAGGAACTCAAAGAACCAGCTGGGATGATCTGGAGTTGCACTATCCAATAAGGTAGCCACCAGCCACATGTACAATTTAAGTTTAAAATTAAAAGTTCGGTTCCCCCTGCATTAGCCACCTGTGGAATTCTCATATAACTAGACAGCACAAATACAGAACTCTTGCATTACTGTGGAAACTTCTATTGAAAAGAACTGATCTAGAGAACAAAAACTTCTAAAGGATTAAGGTTTTTCTTAGGGTAGCAGTAAGTCACTGTAGATCACCAATAACAGAAAGACTGTAAATGTCATTAAGAACAGGCAAAGCAGTGGTAGAGATGGCTAGTCTGAAGTATTATTCTTTTATTTTCTTTTTTGCATTATTGGGGATTGAACCCAGGGCTTCATGAATGCTAGATAGGTACTCTACCACTGAGCTAGATCCGGAGCCCCTAAAGCATTATTCTTAACACAAAACCAGACTCAGAAAGAAAGTCTGATGGTAGTACAGATGGGGCTGGGTAGCACACTCCAAGGAATGATGTTATTGGTGAAAAGAATCATAGTGTTCTACAGCTCCCATTAGTCCCATAAAATGTCTGAGAGCTTCTTCAGAGAAGTCATTGTATTTAATTTCCAGTTTAGATTACGAGAAATAGAAGGAAGGGCCTGCTCATGGACTATGGTAGATTGTTTCAGTATGATATAAATGACTACTAGGTGAGTTTTTGGTTCCTGATTCAACTCGTACCTTCCTCCAAATAAAGTACAAGGCCACTATAAATCAGGTGCCTGATGTAGATTTCTAAAATAAGCCAATATAAAAAAGTAAACATTTTAAAAGATTTTTTATTAAACATTTATTGAGGAATTTTTGTTAAGACTTTGGGTTAAGGGCTGGTGTTACAGCTCAGTGGTAGAGTGCCTGCCTAACATGTGTGAGGCATTGGTTCAATTCTCAGCACCAATTATAAATAAATTAAATAAAGGCCATCAATAATTTAAAAAAATATTTAAAAAAAAGACTTTGGGTTAAGAACAAAACAAAACAGGGGCTGGGGTTGTGGCTCAGAGTAAAAGCGCTTGCATAGCATATGTGAGGCACTTAGTTCAATCCTCAGCACCACATAAAAACTAAATAAAGGTATTGTGTCCACCTACAACTAAAGAAAAAATGTGTGTGTGTGTGTTTTTTTTTTTAAAGAACAAAACAACTCGCTGGGCCTAATGCTGGTGCTGCATGCCTGTAATCTCAACAGCTCAGGAGGCTGAGCCAGGATGATTGCAAGTTTGCAGCCAGCCTCAGCAACTTAGGGACACCCTAAGCAACTCAGCAAGACCCTGTCTCAAAATAAAATATAAAAAGGGCTGAGAATGTGGCTCAGTGGTTAAATGCCCCAAGGTTCAATCCCCAGTACCCTAAAACAAACAAAAAAATTTTACTGCATTCCAGTTTAAGTGAAAAAAAATAGTAGGGTACTAAATGGTCTTTATAATTTGACCTCAACTACATCACATTGTGCATTAAAAAGACTAGAAGAATCCAGGAGTGCTGGGGCAAGCCTAAAATCCCAGCAACTTGGGAGGCTGAAGCAGGAAGAACTCAAGTTCAAGGCTAGCCTAGGCAACATGAAATCCTGTCTCAAAACAAAAAAATAAAGCTGGGCACACAGATACATGCCTGTAATCCCAGCAACTTCGGAGATTGAGGCCGGTGTATCACATGTTTGAAGCCAATTTGGCAATTTAGCAAAACCCTCAGCAATTTTGCAAGACTGTGTCTCAAATAAAAAAATAAAAAGGACTAGAGATGTAGCTCAGTGGTAAAGTGCCCACGGGTTCAATCCCCAGTCCTGGGGACAGGGGGATACTAAAACATTAACAATAGCAACTCTATCTGCAATTGAGAGATTACATTTTTCTACATGACCATGTATTTCCCCTTTTGTAATTAGAAAACTAGAAAAAAATATTAATAGTATGGTTTAAAAATATATTTGCAATTTAGCATTTTATAACATGAGATTTAAAGATTTACTTAATCTTTTGAGGACTAATTTATAATGATGTCCAAACAGATTATATTGGGGCTTCAATCTTACAGGATTCCCAAAGGTTCCTTTAGAGATTTTTCAGAAAGATAAAAGAAAATCACTCTAGTCTGAACTGAAATTTTGGTCAGAGAACACAGAGCCACAAATTTTGATGAGCTCTTTGGGAAGCAGCTGGCATTGTATGCATGAATTCCTCTTCTTCACAAACATGTGATCACAGTCATGAGGCATTTTAGTGAGGCAGGAGTCTCTTAGATGAGCACAAAGGGAAATGCCAAAAGCAGAAAAAAGCAATTCCTTCCAGAAACACTAGGTATCTTGTTTGTCAACTACCTGGCAAAAAGAAAAAAAAAAATTATGTGACCATAACCTAATGTACACAGCTAGACTCCCAGATAAAAGATACTAATAACTGGGAAAGAAACTAACTCTTGCTTTTTATTTTGCTTGAAAATAAAAAGAAATCAGAATGGCTGGGGATGTGGCTCAGTGATTAAATGCTCCTGGGTTTAATCCCTGGGACAACACCCTCCCCACCAAAAAACAAAACAAAACAAAAATAACAGAATAATTTGGAGGAAAAACAACAACAAAACTATATCAAGAAAAAAGACTGATTATCACTGAAAGTTGCACTCAAGGTAGAGGCCAGTTAAGGGGCACATTTTCTGGTGGAGCCTCAGTGCCAAATGCAGCTCAAGAAGATAAATTAAGAGCTGGGATAGGGGGGCGGGCTCAGTGGTAGAGCGCTCGCCTCTCACGTGTGAGACCTTGGGTTCGATCCTCAGCACCACATAAAAATAAATAAACAAAATAAAGATATTGAAAAAAAAAAGAGCTGGGATCACAACTCAGTGGTACTTTATCTCAGCATCACAAAAAGAAAAAAAGCAAAGTAAAAGCAGGTAATTTTCTCAATTACAAGCCTAGAAAGTAAGCAAATGGCAACTAAGACCCAGGTGCACCCCTATAATTCCAGGAACTTGGGAGACCAAGGCAGGAGGATTGCAAATTCAAGGCCAGCCTCAGCAACTGAGTAGGGCCTTAGGTAACTTATTGAGACTTTGTCTCAAAATAAAATAAAAAGGGCTGGGGTGTGGCTCCGTGGCAGTGCACTCATATAATAAGCACAGAACCCTGTTACCCAGCATCCCCCACACACGCACAGCATACTGGGCTAATATTGTACGTCACTAACCCCTGCATTAAAATTTCCTTGAGCACCTTGCTAGATCATGGCTAAGGCTTAGGCTCTTACCACAGTCTCCTTCTGCCTCTTGAAACGGGTTTTGAGAATCATATGGTCTTGTCACAGAGGCATTACTACTTGCTGAGGAACTAACTTTTGCTCCAGTCCCATTTAGATCATTTCAGACAACAGATATGACAGTTACCCCTCAGCGCATTAAGGGATTCCCGCTCTGTAATCCATACCAAATATAGCACCTCAGGAATATTTTATGATGAAAATGTTGATAAATCTGTTTTTCATTGCAGATACTACTTTTTATTTTTTGGTGGCGTTGGGGATTGAGCCCAGGGCCTCATGCATGCTAGGCAAATACTTTGCTACTAAGCTATATGATTAGCCTCCACTCCTCCTCCTTCTTCTCTTTTTAAAAAAAGTGACCGTGGTACAAATATTTCTTCTGTCTCTACTGCCCAGGAGGTTACAAAAATATTGATCTCAGGGTCCCCCTTCTTTTAATTCTAATATCCTCCTCCTGCAGTAGGATTTACCTTACTTTCTACTGTAATAACCAAAATAGAGTAAATGAGTTGTTTCCATTCTTTCTAGTAGGTATTTATTCCCCTTCCTGATACTTTCTTCACTTCTTCAGAAGACAACTAGGACTTCCTATTTGTTTTTTCATGCCTGACATTTGGCTTTCACCAGGCTCCACAGTATCTACACTAACAGGAGGCAGGAGGAGGCAGGGAAAATGAAGCATGGTCAGCTCTCTTGCTTGTTACAGATCTGCTGGGTGAAGCCTGAACAGCCTGCAACTAAAGGAAGTATGAAAGATGTAGGTTCTAGTTCCAGCTTCACCACCTTAACAGACACTAGCTTTGGACAAATCAAATAACCTCTAGGAGCCCATTTGTAAAATGGAATTAAAAATGCTTCAATACTTACTTCCCAAGAGGTTAGGGTATTAATAGATTAGAAAAATACTCTGAAAATAGTTAAATGCTATTTTTAAAAATTCATTTCACACATCTGAGCCATTTCTGCATACCAAACAATGTAAGTACTGGTAGTTGCTTCTTTTTATCACTGAAACCAAAACAAGCATGGCAAAAATCACCCACTTCCTGACAATTCTGAGCTATAGACAAAATTACAGGCATACTAAAATAAAACGGGAAAAATACCAACAGATGACAAGAGGCAAGTTAACATAATCCTCACTTAAAGCTATTTTGAGAATGCTTCCTTAGTCATCTCAGGACAAATTTCTCCATAATAGGTTGGGTCTAGATTTCCTTTAGCTCCCTGAGCCTGGAAGAATATAGCAATGTCTTTGGCTAAGAGTATTTATAAGCACAGCGGACAGAAAGAAATAATACACATTTCTAGGCTTCTCCTTAAAGAGGGCAAAGCACAAAAGTGATGCCCAAATACCTCCAGGATCAGTATAGTGGGAAGGGCTCAGGTTTCAGAAGAGAAAAGATGGTTTCAGTCCCAGCTCCCCACTTCCCGGCCAGGCAAGGCAGCCTTTTAGTTAGATTTTTCATCTGCTAAGTGAATAATACTGTCTACTTCAAAGGGATACTCTAAGAATTAAGAGAGAGAATGTATATAAAGCACCTGGCACATGAAAAGTGCTTAATTAATAAATGAATAATGGCAGGTTACGCAAAAAACACACACACACAAAAAAAACACCACCAGAAAAGAAACAAAACAACAACAACAAAAAACCATTAAGGTATCTACTCCTATTCAATCTGGAGATTTTTCTCGTACACCAGTGGTTCTCAAGCAGATGTTTTTACTCCTTACAGGACATTTTGACAATAACTGCAGACATTTTTGGTTGTCACCATTAGGAGTGCGATTGGCATCTAGCGGGGAGGTCAAAGGTACTGCTAAACATCCTCTACTGAAAAGCACAGTTCGTGGCTTTTGGTAGAAAGTAAGGTAAATCCAAGCTGGGCATGGTGGCACATGCCTGTAATCAGAGACTCAGGAGGCTGTAGCAGGAGAATCATGCATTTGAGGTCAGCCTCAGCAATTTAGCAAGACCTTCAGCAACTGAGTAAGACTGTGGCTCAAAATTAAACACAAAAAGGGACTGGGGGGCTGGGGATACTGCTCGGTTGGTAGAGTGCTTGCCTCATATACACAAGGTCCTGGGTTCAATCCTGAGGAACACACACACACACACACACACACAGGGACTAAAGATGTAGTTCAGCGGTAAAACACCTCTAGGTTCAATCCCCAACCCCCACGCCCAACCAAAAAAACAAGTAAGGTAAACCTTACTGTAATTTCAGGTTTCCTTTCCTACTAATGACTGAATATTTAATCAGTGGGGAAGGAGGAGGATGTTAGAATGGGAAGACAGAACCTTGGGATCAACATTTTTGTTACTCTATTACTTATCATCTGATCCAAAACAACAGAGTCAAGACTGAGAAATCCTGTTACATAGTCAAATGGACAAGAGGCATTTTCCTCATTATACTTTTTATGACATATGCAAAAACACCCACTTGCTGGGCAAAGACAACAGCATTCATGAGGCAGGCCCGAGGCTAATGGGGGTGGGATTCTTTGTTTGGGCCTTCCAAAGGGGCCTCCTGTCTATCTACCTGCTTAGCAGGAGCAGGGGAGTTCTCATGAATAGTACTGGGACAGGAGAGAGGGGGCAAGATGGAATGTGGGAAGTGGGTAGAAACAGTACAGGGATATAGAAAGGAGCTAAAAGATGTTAGAAATGAAACACTGCTTGGTTTCTATCTACTTTGGGCTGCCATAACAAAATTCCATATACTGGAAGGCTTAACATATCATAAACTTATTTTCTTGAAAATTCAAGAGTAAGGTTCAAGCAAGGTTCTGTTTTCAATGAGGGCTTTTCCTGGT